AATAATATCTTAAAAACTATATAGGATGTTTAAATGATAAAATGAGTTGTCTTTTTAGCCAGCCTCTTTCAATTTTCCAATGGATTTCCAACATAATGCTTTTGTGACAGATTTTTTTTTGTGGAGAAGCTTTTGACAAATTTCGATTATATATAGGGTTAGGTTATAGTGCTTTAGGTAACTATTGTGTGCATGTAAGGAGAATTCTGGAACAATAGATGAAAATAATGAATGACTATGATTTTGAGGGTCTATGATATTACAATGGAATATCATGTACTATAATATCAGTCAAATTTAATTAAAATGGTATTTTAGACAATTAACTGATTATAACTTATTTTATTCTGTCAAAATGTGATTATGTTAGAATGATATTCTGTTAGAATAAGAGTTTATGACATCTTTTAAGTATACATAAATAAGAATAAAACATGAATAAGTACATTACGAAACAATATAGAAAATCGATTCTTGAACTAATAATAAATAATATATCAAATAATTATATTCTATGATTGTGATACAAAAAGAACATTCTTGAATAATAACAACATTATGAAAGAATAATAAGTGTAATTCTTAAAAAATAACAACATTCCTAAGTTGTGAGTATGATCAATCTTTGATTCATTTTTCATGTCATTTCTATAAGGTCTTCAAGTCATTCCTATCACAAATATAAAAAACATCAAAATCCAACAAAAAAACACTAATTCATTCTGAAAGAATAATCTTGCTAAGATTCATTTTATACATTCTGGCGGAATACATTCTACTATAAGCCACTCTTGTTCTCCATATTTTACACATAAAATACATTCTGACATAATACATAGAGTACATTCTGACGAAATACATAGAATACATACCACTATTTTCTTATTCCAGTAAAATAATAAACAACACACAATATCCACTTCAAATTGCAAGCAAAATCCACTTTGCCAAAACTCAATCAAACAATATTGAATCTTATAAGAACAAGAAATGAAAAATCTATCTAACATTTAATACTAACAATAAAAGAGTGTGAAATGGGATTAAAGAAACCAAATGCATTCCAAATTTAATCCAAATCAACTTAGCATCAATCTGTTGTTATGAAAATGACATCCAACCCAATCTAAATTAAGTTATATAGTTATGAAAAGAATAAGGAACAAAGCAAAGTAAAAAGATTAAAAATTATTAACTATTTTTTCATTGATGCACTTTCTCGAACACATGGAGGCGATGACAGAATGTTATTGTTTATAAACGAAAACTCCAAATCAATAATGATTTTGGAAAACTTTGATGTCCAAATTAATGTAAAGCAAGATAGAATTGAGTTTATAACAATATCATCTATGTAAAGAAAAAAAAAAAAGATGTTAGTCTGTTACCTCAAATTTAGAACAAGATTCATGATTCCATTGGTTGCTGACAAAATTTCAGTAGCTTGTTACAAATATTCACCATTAAATGCAAGCTTGAGATTTGCTGAATGAACATGGGAGTGAGTTTCACGGTAGTAGGCGTGTTGTGTATTACCGATTAACTCATCAAGACCAGACTTCAATCTATAGATCCACCCAATCACTTTTGATATGATATGAGAAAGGGGTAGGTTTGATAGATGTAGAGACTTGCATCTATAGTGAGGATAAGAGGTAAGAGGACATCGACGAGGAGGAGAAGATGGAAGACGGTGTCGGCGATTGAAAATTTTGGGGGTTAGATCAAGGCCTTCTGTGATGATGGTGATGAAAATGATGGTTTTGTAGGGTTCAATTGATATCTTTATTTTAGGGGATATTAATTGGATTATTTCTTTTATCATAATTAGATGTGTTAAGATTATCAAAATACCCTTTTATATTTATTTATTATTTAATTTTTGCTAATTTCTGATTGGTGCGTTCAGGAACATTTGAATATATATATATATATATATATATATATATATATATATATATATATATATATATATATATATATATATATATATATATATATATATATATATATGACAGATCCACGACTTACCATATTGTGTCAAAATTTGCACGAACTTCCGTCGCTAATGTCGGCATAATAACGTTTGAATAAAAATGAAAAAAAGTCATTTTTTGCACAAAAGCATATAAAATTTAATACAATAGATGGAAAATGCCACAAAAGTTTTTAGGTTTACAACATTTTATTTTATTGGTTTTATATTTTTTGTTTTCTTCCTTAGTTTTAACTTTAACCCGTAATTTTCATTCAACTTGTTAGTTTTATTCTTTTTCATTTCTCATCTTTTTTTTTTTTTTTTAATGAAACCTTCAAAAAAATCTCTTAGTTTTGTAAATTTTGTTACAATTTTACCTTAAATATGTTTTTTAGTTTATTCTATCACTAGGTTATAACCCGTGAAAACCATGGTTACAAAAATAAATAATTATTTTAGTAAAAGATCATAATGATTAATCAATTATTTTTAATAAATTATTAATTAACATACTTAGATTATAACTGTAGAAACTATGGTTACAAAAATAAATATTTTTTTTCTAGCAAAAAGTCATAATTATTAATCTATTATTTTCAATAAATTATTAATTAAGATATTTATGTTTTTTTATTTATATAAACTTATAATCGTTGATTCAAATAAATTATAACTATTTATTACGAAATATTTTGAATTTCAAAATGTTAATAGCTAATGCTAATTTGAAGGGATTTAAAAGAATTTAAATTTAAATATAAAATCATAGAAAAAGACATTTGTCATTTTTAAAGAATGGGGAAACAAAATTAAAAATTATAAGAAAATTACAACTACCATATAAACTATTCTTTTATTAATATAGGAAGATTTTAAATAACTTTGTTTATCTTACCATTTTACATTTTTATTTGGTTACGTTGATTAGACAATTTTTTGTTGACATATATGAAATTTCAAATCAGAGTCTTATAAAAAAAAATAAAAGAATGGTGAATCAAACAACATTTTGTAAGCAAATATAGTTGAATTACAAATTTTGATTTAACATAGTTAAAAATAGAAATACAATTTTAATTCCAGTTATGTAATTAATGCAATATATATACTTGATGCTACTTATGATAAGACACATGTCTTACATCTGAAACATTGTCCATTAAAGTTTCAATATTTTGTATCAATTTACTGTCTAGTCCAAACTTTTATTTTTTGAATAGAAAAAGTTCAAAAATTAAATATTGGGATTAAGTCGTGAACTGACCCAAAATATTGAGACTTTGTTGTAGATTTTGATGTGTATTAGAACCGAGTAATGAATACGAAATCAATTATAGAAAACAGAAAGAACACATCGAGTAAAGAAGATCTAATTGGCTCATATTATGTTTGTAAAAGAGTACAAGAGTTGAGAGTCTTTTACAAACTTGAGAGCACAAAAAGTTACTCTCGAACCTAATACTTACCCTATTTACAGGGTGTTATAGACAACAAAAAGTACAAGTACTAAATGTTCTAGTTCGAATTTGACATGTGCCTTGCAAATACATATAGAGTCGAAACTATTATGATTTCGTGCCCTTACTGACTAAAAAGTATTTTGACTTCTCACTATCTACATTTCGAACCCTACAATCTCCCCACTAGTGAGAAAAGAAGAAATTACGCCAAAAGCTTCAAAGTCTGTTGAAGTACATTACGAACCTCCATATACCACATAATCATCTTTTGAATCTCTGCCTTGTCTTCAACTTCATTATTCTTGCAGTTGCTGACTCGAATAGGAAGATTTGTATATTGAGCGTTTGTATACCTCTTCAAATCACATACTTGAAACAAGAATTTTGTCATCCTCCCATTCTTGTTCTTCCCTCGAAATACAACTCCTAGAGATTGATGAATAATCTCCCCATCTTAATACTCGTCTATATTGATCGTTCCTTTCAGCAAAGATTGAGGAACTTTTGAAGACTTGTTAACAGCCATATCCAGCTCAATATCAGTAATTGTAAGGAAATCCTAATAGTTGTCGATAAAAACCTTGATATGATCAAAACCAATTAGAAAGTCACCCTTGTTGGTTTCTATTAGCTTCGAAACATCCACATTGCTTAAAATCCTTGTCACAGTGACCAAGTCATTCTAGTTCATCAGTGGGAAATCAACAATCAAAAATTCACAATTCACACTATTCGCTCTAACAACTACATAGCGAATGTTTTGTAGAATGCCTTCAAACAGGTTTTCACAAGTAATTTTCAACACCTTAACAATCTTCACTATTGACCATACTTCTTCTTTATTCTTCCCCAAAACCACATGAAATCGTATCTTTAGTCTTTTGTATTCTTCTTTTTCTTTAAAGTTTTCAATGATTTTAAATTGAGAAGAGATGAACATGTGATTTAATGGGAAGTTAAGCTGATTCAAATTAGAATTCTCTATATCATAACTCTTCTTAGGCACTTTTCGAAAATAGTCATTCAGCCTAATCAAAATGATTTATTCAATGGTTTCGTAACACCACTGCTTATTGGGATCACCCATATTCAAGCTAGGTGGATCATTATGTTTTTTCCTTATTATGATGTTGATTTGCCTTTGTTTCTCGATTTCCAGAGCTTGTTGTTTCTTATCTTCTTCTGAAGGAACCACTGAGATAGCTTTCCCTTTATCAACTTGATTGTTTTTCGAAGGTGGTGTCACAGAACTCAAACTTGAACCTCTAACTCCTTCGTTTATAATGATCCCTTTCGTGATTGGTCTTGTTGTTGTTGTTGAAGTTGTGGTCATTGAAATCGGAAGTGAAGTCAGTATCTAAGTTGACATCACTTTCCCAATAACGTCTCTTTTTTTTTTCAAAATCCTTCGAAGACCCAACATCTCTACATCCTTTATCTCTCCCTTGTGACACTTGCACAGCACGTAGAACATTCGTTGGTAAGCAAAGAGCCAACTTAAGGATGGGAGCAAGCTCTGCTTTTATATTGGTCTCAATATTCGAAACCAATTGAGAAATAGACTATTGAGAAACCGATGATTGATTCGAAAGATCAACTTTCAAAATCGTTTCCTTGATACTTGATAAGAATTCTTCTATCTTTTCGAACACCTGGGAATCCTTCTCCAATTTTTCTTCAAGCTTAGTCGAATAGTCAGTATTGAATTCGACCAACTTTGTGATAGCAGTTGCAACAACATCAACTTTATTATGCAACAAAGTATAGTTATGCTCCATCTTTTCCACCTCGTTGTCCAATTCTGATTTGAGTTCATCCATTTTCTGATCCATAGACTCTTTCATCTTTGTGACTTTCCCAACAAAAAGATCATGACGTTCCTTGGCAACATCATGAAGCTTCTGAATTTCATACTCAAAGCTTCTAAATTGAACATCCAACCTTTCGACCTATGTCTTTTCAAAAATTTCAACCAAAATTAGAAAATGAGTTTCTTGAGACTTTAACAAGTACTCTATCTCTACCCAAGTAACAAAATTCATTCTACCAGTATATGCTCAGATTTGTAGAAGAGAAATGATTTTAGAGTTAAGGATTTTGAATTGTTTACCTGACATGACAACATTATCCTCCTTAGGAACGAACTACAAATCAACAAAAGATACCATGATGTCATCATCATTTGGTTCATCTTCTTGAACTATTCACTCAACTTCAGGTGATTGACAAGATAAGAGAGTAGTAATGGGTTCAAGCATGATTGTGGAGTAAGTTGGTGAATAGTTGAGACTGGTAGTGAAGCCGGGATTGGGGATCAAATTGGTAATGAAGTGAATGTTTCGAATGTAGAGGTTTCAATGGTGGATAATATTATGGTGGAAGTAGAAATGGTTGATGTTTCAAAATTTAAGTAACAATGGCTTCATTGTTCTGCACCCCTTCACCCATATTGACATTTGTGTCCTTATCAGATAAGTTCATAGTGATGTCTGGGGTTCAAACCTCCTCCGTATAGGATTCAATATGTGAAACCAAAAGTGGTATCACTTTAGTCTTCTCAAGGATGGATGTATATGTTTAATCATTCGTATTGGTGTTTGTATCCATATTAGATACTGTTGGATAAGGTGTCTAAGTCCATAACTATTTCTGGTATGTACTTGACCCGACCCGGCATGGTCCATTTGGGTTGCATGGCACCATGCAATTGGATAGACTAAATGAGAGAAATAACACTTGGAGATTATTAATATATTATAAGTTCTAATATATTAATAATATTATTTGATTAGTTTGATCAAGAATTAATTTAGAATTAATTAAGTGATCAAAAGATAACTAATTAAATATATGGGTTGATTATGTAAATCATCCATATCTTGTATAGTGGGCTAAGAGGCTCCATGGATTATCAAGTTGGGTTCCACCCATAGGATGCTCCATGGATGCTCCATGGGAGTTACAAACCCATGGGTCATGGAAATGAAGAGTCATGACACATTAGGGTTTACATGGTGTAACCCTAGATGTGTCAACACTATATAAGAATCATATTCTCCACCAAAATCGGCTACACTAAGGAAACAAGAGGGCTTGGCCGATTTCAAGAAGTGTGCATTCTCTCAAAAGTCTTTCCAAGAGCATTTGGTGTTGTGTGAAGCATTTGAGGCATCACACTTGGGGTGCTAGGCTCATAAGGTTTCAAGGAACATAAGCAACAACAAGGTAAGTTATTCTATCTATCATTCAAGTTAAAATTGTTCCCCATGTATGCTAGATAGGAATATAGCCTTGGAATTCAACTTTGCATGATAATTAGACAAACATAGATCCAAGGTTATTAGGGTTGCATGTACACTTAGGAAGTGTTAGAATGCTCAAAACCCATCAGTGGTATCAGAGCCTAGGCTTGTTTGCTTTTTATTTGTGCTTAAAAGTTGAAAAAAGTCGAAAATCTTGCTGTCTACGAATGGACTCGTCGAGTCCATGGGGGGACTCGTCGAGTTCACGTGTATCTTCAACCAACTCGGCGAGTAAGTTCATGCACTCGGCGAGTAGGGTCGACAGATTGCAGAATTTCGACTTTAGTTGCTGGAAATGGACTAGAAACATTACCCTAAACTGTTTTGGTACTTGAAAACTTGTTTTAGATGGTGTAATGTCTTTCTAATTCATTTACAACAACTAGTTATCAAAATTACAAAGTTTTAAGTGTAATTTTGATTTATGAATGTGTTCATATTCATGTTCTTGTTCTTATGATGTTTTAGATGATCATAGGAATTATTTGTAACCTATGTGGTAGATTAATTCTTGATCATAATGTGTTTTAATGGAGTCCATAACTTGTCCTCAAGTTATGGAAAACCAAGAGTCACACTTGAATTAAAACCATTAAAAGAACACAAGAGTTAGAAAAATGAAGAGTCTTCATTTTATTACTCTATTAAACTCATAAGTTACAAGAAATGAAAAGTTTTGAAAGTTACAAAACTTGCCCTCAAGTTTTGGAACAAGTAAAGTTAAGTTAAAACTTTAGTTCCAACCCTTAGAATTTTAAAAGTTAAAATTCAACCCTTATACTTATATTATGATGATTTAATAATTATATATATATATATATATATATATATATATATATATATATATATATATGTATAAGAACAAAGTCGTCTTACCGCTAGTACGCCTCATTCACGAAGCCGGTCTATAAGGTGGGTATAAGGTTGTTGCCTATAAAATGGTGACTTAATGGGTGTCTACTCTCACCCACCGCTTGCTTGACTGGTGGAGGGTCGTTAGCCGAACGGGTAAGACAAGGACTTATAAATTCTCATTCAAAGTATGATGAATATTATAAAGTAACTAAATGTTTTATTAAATTCCCAATCTTAGTTACTTTAGGAAAATGTGAATAAGGTGCTAATCCATGAAATTACACTTTACACTTTGTCTAAGTCGTTGGTGGAGCGTGTGTGGTTAACCGGCACACTAACTTGGACTTAACAAGGTAGGTAAAGGGTGACTTAAGGTTTATTATAGTATCGGTGGAGCGTGTGTGGTTTACCGGCACATCGATTGAGTGATAAACTTTAAGGGTACCAAGTGATTTGCATGGTTACTTCACACCTCGTTTTGTGATCCTCGGTATCCCAGTCACAAAACTTGGAGGGCACACTCGAGATTGAAACATGCCTTTGAAAAGTTCATTGAATCTCAAAGAATCTAGGAATTTCTAAGAACCAATCATAAAACCTAATATCTAATATTTCGGTTTTCGTGGTGGAAATTGGTGAATCGTCATTCACCTACCTTTCAAATATGTTATAGCTTGGATTACGGCATACCTCTTCTAAGTTATAATATATTGTGATTGGATCCTAGCCTTAATATTACATTTGGGTGTTTTATTAAGGACTCTCTTAATATCTAAACTAATCTTGTCCTCTTCCTTCAGATGTCTTCAAACAATGCTGCTTCTGGCTCGAATCCTAATGGCTCCTTTACTCTTATGAGCTTGTGTGGGAAAGTCACTTTTGATGGATCCAACTTCAATGAGTGGATCAGAAACATCAGGATGATTACCCGCTACGAGGACAAAGAATATGTCCTCGACAAGGAGCTTAAGGAGATTGATGAGACCACTGCAACTCCTCAGGAGATCGCTGACTTTCAGGCACATGAAAGGGATGCTACGAAAGTAGCATGCATCATGATGGCCACAATGACAGCAGAACTCCAAAAGTCCTATGAGGATTTCTACCCTTATGAAATGCACCAAGATTTGATGGAAAGATACCATCAAAGTGCACGACAAGAGAGGTACGAAATCATCTGCTCCATGATAACAACCATGATGAAGGACGGGGATTCCGTCACGAGCCACATGCAGAAAATGCAAAGGTATGTGGATCGATTGCTGAAGCTTAATGTGAACTTCCCTGAGGAGCTTGCAATAGATATAATTTTGCGCTCCTTACCATCGTGCTATGATCAATTCCGCATGACATATCACATGAATAAGGAAGAGGTCACACTCAGCAAACTTCAGGGACTTCTCAAGACCGCAGAATCAGGTCTTAAGGGGAAGTCGGTTGTTAACACTCCTACTCCAAACTCCACTCCGGTTTTGGCAATCGGGAAAAGTCGAGGGAAGAAGAGAAAGAGTTCTTCGAAGGGTACCAAGGTTAGGACCCTTGATGGCTCTTCTTCAAGTGGAACCAAGAAAGGTTTTGTCACTCCTTCTTCTGACCCAAAAGAGGCTGAATGCTTCTATTGCCATGAAAAATCACATTGGAAGCGGAACTGCCCAAAATACCAGCAAGATGTGAAGGATGGGAAAGTTAAACCCAACCATGCAGGTATTTACACTATCATTTCTAATAACTCACCCCATTCGAAATCTTGGGTCCTTGATACCGGTTGTGGTATTCACATTTGTTGTGACTTGCAGGGACTAGAAGAAGTGAGAATGTGGAGCAAGGAAGAATAAACTTAATCATGGGGAATAGGAAAGTTACACCTGTCACCAAGATTGGAGTTTATACTTTATCGCTAAGTAGTGGGTTAAATTTAGATTTGAATAAATGTTGTTATTCGCCAGAAATGGCAAGAAATATTATTTCCTTTCATGCATTGTATAAACAAGGTTTCACCTTTTCATTTGATAATGAAGTTGGTTCGATTAATGCTTTCTTTAATAATGTTCTTTATTTTAAAGCATTACCTTGTGATGGTGTGTATGAAGCTGTATCTGTTGTAGATAACTTAGGAAATAATGTTTTGTGTATTGATTCTCCTAATAATAATAACTTGGATAAAGCATCATTATGGCATTGTCGTCTTGGACATATAAGCAAGAAACGCATAGGCCAACTCCAAAAGGATGGAGTCTTGGAGTCGTTTGACCTAAAGTCAGATGATAGTTGCGAATCATGCTTACTTGGAAAAATGACAAAGTCACCCTTCACAGGCTCGTGTGAAAGGGGTGAAGGTTTGTTGGACCTTATACACACGGATGTGTGTGGACCATTCAAACATGCCACAAGGGATGCTAATCGTTATTATTTGACTTTTACTGATGATTACAGTAGATATGGATATGTCTACTTAATCAAGCATAAGTCAGAGACTTTCGAGAAGTTTAAGGAATTTAAACAGGAAGTCGAGAATCAATTGGGCAGGAACATTAAGATGCTTCGATCCGATCGAGGTGGTGAGTATCTTAGTTCAGAGTTCCTCGACTATCTAAGGGAATGTGGGATTGTCTCACAATTGACACCTCCCAGGACACCGCAGTTGAATGGTGTGGCTGAGAGGCGTAATCGAACCTTGTTAGACATGGTTCGTTCCATGATGAGTCGAGCTTCGCTACCAATCTCATTCTGGGGGTATGCCTTAGAGACTGCCGCCCATATCCTTAATCTAGTCCCTACAAAGAAAGTTGCCAAAACTCCTCACGAGATGTGGACTGGTAAAGTACCTAAACTAGACCACATCAAGATTTGGGGTTGCGAGGCTTTCGTGAGACGCGAGACTCATGATAAGCTCGAACCTCGAAGCGAGAGGTGTATTTTCATCGGCTACCCACAACAATCCTTTGGTTACCTCTTCTACAGACCTAGTGACAATGTGGTCTTTGTAGCAAGAAGAGGAGTCTTTCGAGAAAGAGAGTTTATAAGCCAAGGAGAC